GGGGACGCGCTCCCTCTCCCGCCGCCCCCGCCGGACCCGCGCGCGCCGCTCCACGCCCCTCGGCCGCTGGTTCCGGGGGCGGGGACGGGGGCTGGCGAGGGTCAGTTCCGGGGCCTGGCGCTCTTAGGGGCGCGCTGGAGAGGGGTGCCGAGGGACAAGTGACCGGGTTTCAGGGTGACGCTTTTCCACGGAGGAATTCCAAGCGGGAGAAGCCCGCGTGTCTCAGCAGCCGCGCGTCCACCCTGAGACGCGACTGTGCAGCCCTGACAAACGCGGAAACGGGGACCCTCGGGGGTTGGGGTTCGCAAAGTTTTGGGTTCAACCGCGAAGGGCTTCGTCGGTTCTACCCTGGCGGGTTTGGGAGTAGGAGCGGGTTGTTAGGGAGAGCGTTAGAATCGGTGCCTTGCGTGAGCGTCGGGCACACCCACGACCTGGGGAAGGCGACCTGTCAGTGTAGATGCCGGTTGTCTAACCTGTTGCCTGGACCTTCCAGCCTCACGTGCGTGCCCACGTGCTCCTCTGGCATTCTTTTAAATCCAGTTTTGAAGCCAAGGGACCATATCCATCCAGTGTTGTCACTTCCTCATAGACTCAGATCTACCTACCCTTGTCTCTGTATCCCAGAACCGTGCTGTGCATGCTTTGACCCTTGCGAGGGTCTTGGGGGGAGGGCAGCCCTGTCTTGTGTGTGTGTGTGTTTTCCTAGAAGCAATGCGGGCTGTTATTTATCTGGTGGAAATATAGATTGTGTTCCACGCGTGGGCTGCCATGGTAAAGTTGGAGTTAAAAAGATGCAACTGGCCATCAGCCAGCATACAGGATTCTGTTGGGTCAGTTGTGTGTGGTGGCTTATTAAGGAAAACTAATGAAGACAAATGGAAGAAATAATTTTTCCCGTTTACTGGTTAAAGGCAGTGCCAAAAACCAGTGACAAGATAGGGAGCACTGACATTTGATCATGTATAAAGATTGAGGGACATAACTTTAGAGTTTCTACCCAGAATCTACAATCCGGAGATGCAGTTTTATATCGGAGCGTCTGTAGAGCATGGCCTCTGACGTTCTCATGTCTTGGAATCAGTAAAGCTTGCTCTGTAAAGCCAAATACTCAGGAGCCACTGTTCTTTTACGAGCTTTTGTGACTAGGGTTACCCATTTTCCCCTTTGCCTGTGCCTCCAAGAAAACTGCACGCTCCCAAGTAGGTAGCTACTCAGATGATGAAACCTCGTACTGTGCGGACATGGTTTATCAGAACTTGAGAAGCATTCAGTTTCACCCTTCACATAGTTAATGCAAGCGCCTCCCTCTTTCCAGAGTTGTGCCCAATTAGTGAGAGAGTAGTGGGGGTCACGAGTGAGGTCCGTGACCAGCTCTTTTTCTTTTAAGAGTGAGCTGTCTAGTCAGGAAAAGAAATCATGTATATGTCAAAGAAACCGGGAAGGAAGTGAGGTAGTAGTATTAGGTGGTGCTATAGTAGAGGAGAAATTTACACAGGAGGAGATCAGTGCTAGGGCTGGCCTTTAAACAGAGAGTAAAATTGGAATTAAGAAAGAGTTAAATCCTATGGTGAAGTTGGTGCTAATTTGGTCATTGGATGGCAGGAGGATATTTTGAGGAGGCTTGTGTGACTGGAGCAGAGAGAAGTTCCTTGTACAGTAGTGGGGAGAGAGACTTTACAGGGTGGCTGTAAAACTGACAGACACCCCATTAATTCTAGGGTAGAGTCCGTCCTGGTTAGTTTTTGTCAACTTGACAAAAACTAGAATCACTGGGGAGAAGAAACTTCTGCCAAGGAAGTGCTTCCATCAGATTGGCCTGTTCAGGAGTGTGGGGGCATTTTTGTAATTGATAATTGATATAGGAGGGCCCACCCACCCCCTGCAGAGCTACGCCTTGGTAGGCCATCCTGTGTTGTGGGAGAAGGCAAGCCAGGAAACAGCATCTGGCTCCTGCCTCCAGTTTCCTGCCTTTGCTTTTCTTGGTGATAGACAGTTAGCCTGCAATCAAAATAACCCCTCTCCCAAGATGGTTTTGATCAGGGTTTTGTCACAGCAACAGCAAATTAACTGGAACCGAGTCTGTCTGTAGGGTGGGATGAAGAGTTATTAATCAAAATAAAGTCTTAGACAAGAACAACTTACAAGTATTATTCTTTTAAAACAGCTATTTGGCTTTTTTTTTTAATTGGTTATTTTAATCTATTTGTTTCTTGCGATAGGATTTTACTTATATTCTTGGCTGGCCTAGAACTTGTTCTGCAGACTTAGTATGCTCCTCCTGAGTCTGCTTCCTGAGTACTGGAATTACAGGTACGAGCCACCAAGCCCTGCCTAAAAATAAATGTTATTTCTACTTAAAGGGTATCTGACTGAGCCAGGATCACGTTTCTGCATCCTTGGTTTCATTTAGTAATTGGAATAAATGTTTCATTCCTGAGCGTTTATCCTGGGTTGCATGGCTGAGCCACTAAAATGTACCTGATGGGCTTAGGCGGCTGTTCTGGACATTGGCTGAAGTGCTGTAACCAATGTCGTCATCTAACTATACTTAGTGACGAGGTTTCTGTCATGGTTATCTCTCACAGTGCCCTGCCAAACAATAACTGCCCATCCTGTGACAAAGGTACAAATATGTTAGCTTGAAAGGGAGTCTATATGAAAAAGGAATACTGACAGAATATTCTCTCTGCGGGAGAATATTAAGTCGTCTATACCATTCTTTGTTATTAGAAAATTCTCGAGCTCTTTGTGCTGACACATGCTTGTAATCTCAGCACTTGGAAGGGAAAGCGAGAGGCTCAGAGATTCATCGTCCTCTGCAGCAGTGGATCGAAGCTAGCCAGGGCCTTGTGAGATTCTGTCTCCTCCCCCCCCCAAAACCCCACAACTCCCCCGCCCCCGCAAAAGACAAAATCCTGTGGAATGGTTTGTAAGCCCGAGGTTGAATGGCTGAGCTGTGTAGAGTTACTTGGCAAACGCTGCATTATTTAACAACTCAGCAAATATTTATGAGGCGCTAGCTATGACTAGCTATTCATTCCGTCAGGTGCAGAGAGGACATAGAGGAATAGGTACTATAATACCTTTGACATGTAAGTGTTGATCAGAGATGCTAAACTACTGGCTGTCGTATGTTGCGATAAGTTAATCGCTTTGAGAATTAATAAATTACTAGAGGAATTGATCACACTTGGAAATCATTGGTGGCAAACGATTAGGAGAGAAATGGATAGACCTTAGCTTCATAGATTAAATAGATTTCTGCTGTATGTAAAGAGGAAGGCAACTTTCTAGGTAGACAGTCTTTGTTGAACATTAAAATTGAATGGTTCTTTTGGAAATGTCCTGAGTTGTTTCTTACCGGCTTAGTGTGTGGCAGCGGAGATAGGATAGACCTAATAGAGAGGTAGATTACGACCAGCTCTAGGGACCTTCCATTCTATTCATTTCTTCCTTTCTTTCTTTCTTTCTTTCTTTCTTTCTTTCTTTCTTTCTTTCTTTCTTTCTTTCTTTCTTTCTTTCTTTAATTTTTAGACAGGGTCTCTGTTAGTATTCTGTCCAAACTCCACCTCCACAGTTATCTGGCAACACCCAGGTATGCTCCTCCCCACAGTTACCTGGCAATAGCCAGGTAGGCCTGCCCACTATAAATGGGGCTGCTTGCCTCCTCTCTGTCTCTTACTCTCTTACTCTCTTGCCTCTAGTTTCTCTGTCCCCTCACCTCTTCCCCCCTTCCCTTCCCCCTCTCTCCACATGGTCATGGCTAGCCTCCACTTCTCTCCTCTCTCTCTCCTCTTTCTCCACCATCTTCTCCCGTTTCTCTCCCCACCTTTGTCCTCTGCCCTGAATAAACCCTCTCCCCTTTGGAACCATTTGGTCTGGTGTTGTCTGTTCTAAGCTTCGCGCCAAAATCTAACAGTCTCTATAGCCCTAGTTGTCCTTGAACTCATAGTGTAAACCAGGCTGGGCTTGAACTCACTGCCTCTGCTGAGTACTGGGATTAAAGAGGGTGCCGCCACATCCTGCCCATGGTATTCTAAAAGGCCTAGATCCACTGTTCATTCACTTGGCAATGGAGAGCCAAGAAAAGTAGGTTAAGCATCCTCAGGAAGCAACCAGCAGTCTCACAGAGGTCACTTTAGAGTAGGGAGACAGAGATGTGCTGGTGTCTCAGAGAGGAAAGTGGGGTGGATAGAGTTCAGAAGCATTCTAGCTGCCTAAAGTTGAAAATTTTAAGTACACAGAGGGGCGGGGCAACACAGTAAAGATGATGACCTACTGTGAGCAGCTGAGTGATTATGATGCCATTGATGAGAAATAAAGGAGGGTAGTTACAGTGCAGAGGCCGAGCGTATGGGGCATTTCAATAGGCAGATCCTCTGGGTAGGTGGGTCAGAGTTCTCCTACAGAGGTGACGAGAGGCCCAGGAGCAGTGTAGTGTAAATCACTGACTGTGGGATCCTTGGAGGTGGGAGGATACAAGGCCAAATCCTGTGTTGTACTGAGTGTTGGCTGAGTGACCTTGTCTCGGATTAATGTCTTTTGTCCTCTGCGTTTTGTTGGAATTAAAGCCTCATGAAGACGCAGTAGTACAGTGTGTACTTGGTTATAGCGGAGTGTGCCTGGCACACAAGCGTTGGACAGTAAGAGTAATAGATGTAGGTAGAAGTGGACGGGAGTTAGAAGGACAGAGAATGGGACTTGGGGGAACAGGTTAAACTCAGACAAGCTCTCAATCTGCTTTCTGTTTCTGTGAGAAAATACTAGAAACTAAAGAATCTATCAACAACAGAAATTTGTTTCCTCCTAGTTCTCGAAGTTGAGATGTCCAAGATCAGGTGCTGGCCTGTGGTGAGGGGTGGTGTCTGTCTGTCCCTTTCTCCTTTTATAGGAGCCCCACTCCTCAGTAGTAAGAGAGGCCTCATGCTTTTATTACCTCACAAACGCTCCGTCTCAGCACAGTTGTGCCGAGGATTACGTCTCCAATCCCTTCCATCTCTAGAACCGGTTCCAACTTGAGCAAGCAGCAGCAGAACATGGAGGCCTTGGGAAAACACAGAAATCCAGGCCCTTTCCCTGTAAGTTTCTGATTGAGTACGTGTAGATGGGTGTGACAGTTCGAAGCTTGAACAAGTGCCCAGGTGAGGCTGTGCTGGGACCACATTGAAAACAACTGATGGAAACCTGTGGGTGTGGAGGAGGAGTGAGCATGGGCAGAAGCAGCTGTGGAAGTGTTTGGAGAGCCAGGGCGGAGTGCAGAGAGAGTCACG